TGCTTTTGTGCTTCTTGTTCTTCTTTGCTTTTTTCCTAGGAATTTCATCTTCCCCCGTGGAGCTTCTTTTTGTGGACTGAGTACTATTTTTCACAGTATTTGTGTCTACATCTAGAAAAAACGATATTTTCCTTGTAAACATTTTAAAGACTGCATTTTGAAACTTTTTTAGACTACTGATGAAGAACACGGGCAGAGGTACAGAACAATTACACTTGCAAACCCTCCCTGATCCACCACACACCAACAGCACACACTCCTTTTCCAGGTCTCTTCTCTTACCCTCAGAAGTCACTTAAAGTAAATACAATTAATTCCTCTTCCAGAAAACTACCCAAATCTTCTTGTTGAACAACACAGCTCTTGTGGGAACATGGCCCATCACAGGATGGTTTGGGTTGGAAGAGACCTTAAGAATCATCCAGTGCCACCCCTGCCATGGGCAGGGACACCTTCCACCAGCCCAGGGTGCTCCAAGCCCCGTCCAACCTGGCCTGGGACACTTCCAGGGATCCAGGGGCAGCCACAGCTTCTCTGCCCAACCTGTGCCAGGGCCTGCCCACCCTCCCAGCCAGCAATTCCTTCCCAATATCCCATCTATCCCTATCCCTGTCAGTGGGAAGTCACTCCCTTTAAAAACAGAAGGAAGGACAATCATGGAAATGAGCACCCTGTCAGCCTCCCCTGTGTGACTGGGAAGATCACAGATCCTCCCAGCAGCTCTGCTGAAGTACGTGGAGAACAGGGAGGTGATCTGGGACAGCCACCACGGCTCCACCCAGGGAAAATCCTGTCTGACCAACCCAGAGGCCTTCTCTGACGGAGTAACTACATCAGCGATAAGAAAAGAGCCACAGCTGTCATTTATCTGGGCTTTTGTAAAGCCTTTGGCACAGGCCCCCACATCATCCCCCTCTCCAAATTGGAGTGATGGATTTGACAGGTGGACTGTTCAGTGGATTAGGAATTGCGTGGATGGCCCCATCCAGAGGGTCATGATCAAAGGCTCAGAGTCCCGATGGCCATCAGTGACCAGTGGTGCCTCAGGGCTCCATCCTGGGCCCAGTGGGATCTGATCCCCTCCCCAGTGACACACACAGGGCTCAGGGGCACCCTCAGCAGGTTTCAGGTGACCCCAAGCTGAGGCTGCAGGGACACCCCTGAAGGATGGACCATCCAGAGGGACCTGCCCAGGCTGCAGCAGCGGCCCCTGGGAATCTGCTCAGCTTTAACAGGGCCGAGTGCTGGGGCTGCACCCGGACTGGGCACCCCTGGGATCAATCCAGGCTGGGCAGGAGCAGATGGAGCAGCCCTGGGAGAAGGCCCTGGGGGTGCTGGTGGGGCAGAGGCTGGACATGAACCAGCCAGAACCCCCCGTGCCCTGGGCTGATCCCCCAGCGTGGGCAGCAGGGCAGGGGGGATTGTGCCCCTCTGAGACCCCCCTGCAGAGCTGCTCCAGCCCTGGGAACAGCACAGGGAGCACATGGAGCTGCTGGAGAGAGCCCAGAGGAGGCACCAAGAGGCTCCCAGGGCTGGAGCAGCTCTGCTGGGAGGAAAGGCTGGCACAGCTGGGATTGTTCAGCTGCACAAGAGAAGCTTTGGGGGGACCTGAGTGTGGCCTTGCAGGGCCTGAAGGGGCTCCAGGGAACAGAGAGAGACTATTGACAAGGGATGGAGTGACAGGACAAGGGGTAATCGTGGAGTGGTTTGGGTTGGAAGGGATCTTAAAGATCATCCAGTTCCAACCCCTTGCCCATGGGCAGGGACACTACTATCCCAGGCCAATCCAAGCCCCATCAAGACTGGACTTCCAACACTTTCAAGGATGGGGCAGCTTCCCTGAGCAACCTGTGCCAGTGTCCACCACCCTCACAGGGAAGAATTTCTTCTAAATGTCTAATCTGAACCTACTCTCCTTCAGTTTAAATCCATTCCCTGTGTCCTGGCCCTCCAGCCCTTGGGAATAGTCTCTCTCCATCTTTCCTGGAGCCCCTTCAGGCCCTGCAAGGCCACACTCAGGTCCCCCCAAAGCTTCTCTTGTCCAGCTGAACAATCCCAGCTGTGCCAGCCTTTCCTCCCAGCAGAGCTGCTCCAGCCCTGGGATCCTCTTGGTGCCTCCTCTGGGCTCTCTCCAG